TTTCCGAGCCCAGCTTTCAAGGTTTGGGATTGTACCGGGCACCCAAGAGACCGCTGTATCATAAGAAAAGAATGTTGATGAGAAAATGTAAAGGAAGAAAAATAATCAACATAACCTATTGGTGGATTTGTACTTACGCTTCATGTTCCATTCTTCGGGGAATGGCATATTCTCGGTCGGGATTATGTCAGAAGTCTTCACTCGGACAAACCGGCCCATCCATCCTCGATCTTTGTCCTTATCTATGCTCGAGAACAACATTTTTGTGGCCCAGCGTTGAAGCCTTACTAATCTGCCTCGAAAGAGACGAGGGTTGTACAGTCTAATGAGATGATCGAGGATAAAAGACATCCCTTTTACCTTGCTCACGAAGAACCGGAGCAAAATAATTATGCGCCAAAAATATGGGTGGATTTGGCCTAGGGTTATGTGGTATTGGCGGCAGAAGTCGATAATAACGGGATCGACGGGACCCAGCGTGAAAAGGTAAGTGTACACACTTAAAAACCCTTTCACGTAAGTAGTAATATCCTCCTCGAAGGTAGGAATTACTACCTCCGTGTTTTCCCAATGGTAGTCCTTTTTCACCTGCTCGAGATCGCCTTCGGTTATCGAGCATATATATCTCGACATGGGCTCACATCGGCTAGGGACCGAAGAGGGTTTTTCAACTTTAAAATCAGAGGTAAGGTCGCATGACCCGTGAATGTACTCTTCGATGTGTGGCTCCACTAGTGCTTTATCACCCGCTGGTCGCGATGAAGAGGCTTTGTCCTTTTGGGGAATGGTATTAGATGTTTTCGCCATTTCTGTATGAGTTCAGAAAAAAGAAGAAGATGAAGTTTTTTGTTTAAGGAGAGGATTGGCAAACAAGGTGTAAATAATTTGCAGAATTGAGGAACTTGAAGGAAGGAGATCTTTGAAGATTAAGAAAAGTTTTGAAAATAAAGTTTGAGAAAATTATGAAGAGGATCTATTTATAATATTACTATGACGGTTTGAAAACACTATTGGTCGACCATTAACTGGCACTAATTAATGGTCTTGGGAACTGTGGAGACGCGACGCTTCAGTCGCCTCCGTCGCTTACGTTATGAGGGTGATGTCGTAATTGGTCGATATACAAAATCGAAGACTCAGTTCGTTTCTTCTCATTACACTCCAAGAAACGATGCCATTATTTTGAGATCAGAGAACTGCATTGAGGGTCAGCCTCATAATGGATCAAGCTTGAGCACGAAGACAAGGTACCGAGTTTGGAGATCGGGGTACCCATCAAGATCGAGGTCCCCGACGATCGAGACCAGATATGATCGAGGTCCGTAACCGGTCGGGGATCACGGCAGAAATCTCGGAACATATCAAATCAAGGGCGGTTATTTGTATCAATCATGGGATTTACTTATGTAATTATAATTGTACCACAATTAGGATTCCTCTAGTACATAAAGAGGAGTCTCCATCATTTGTAAACACCTTACATTCATACAGATCAAGGCAATATAATATTTCTCTATTGTTCATCAACTTATTGTTCTTTAACTGTTCTTACTTTACTACTCTTGGGGGTTCATCAGCTCGAGGGCACTGTCCAAGCATCGGTTTGTTTTATATTCTTGTCAATTCCCATCACGTATATTTAAAACCACATTACAAGTTTAATTGTTACTCAATTTTTAGGTTAAACACGTTGGTATCCTAATCAATTATAAGTAAACAAAAACTGCTTAGGAAATATCCAAAAGGAAATCAATGAACAATTTTTTTTTATATTTACAATGTTCATCCTTTTGATATTTTTATGTCACATCTCGATAAAGTTACAAACTGCATGATAAACTTGATTAGATGCACACACAGAAAACACACATAAATTATGTCCATATGAATTTCTGTTATCATAGAATAATAGTAAAGTTTGGAGCATCCGATTAATGGGTAAAAAGGTGATTATCTTGGGAGAATGCTAATGTGAAAAAGGGAACATAAAACCTGCATCTTCTCAAGCGAATCATCTTACTGAACTCTAAACTTGAATATTCGAACGTACATACACACATATACCAACAAAGTAGTGATACCAGAAGATTCAACATCATACCTTTGTTCTTACCATTCATATCACATAAGATATGCTCCCTCCGTTCTAATTTATACAAGGGTTGACCTATTTGGGGAATCAAATAGCTCTTTCTTTAACTCAAATTCAATTATAGGTTCTTCAAGTATTTTCTACTAAAATTTACAAATTTAAAAACTATATAAGAAGTGCTATAAGTATGCATAAGTAATAATTCACAATATATGGAAAGAATTGAAGAAACTTGTAGTCAAAGAAACAGTTGTTTGGCTTCCCGAATAGGTCAATCCTCATATAAATTGGGACGAAGGGAGTAACTAAACTTTAATTTAGTCTATTAAATCAAAGACTCGCTTTCTCTCCTCATGTATGTATAAAATTGGGATTTAAGATTATTTCCTCAATAAATTAATCGGGAGCATGAACATACAATACTGAGTAACACATATATTGAAAAGCAAACATACATGACCAACTATAGTTCTTTATTTAGTTCTAAGCTCCCTATAGGAGTCTAGAGGTGTTAGGCTAAATAATTGCTATTTAGGGTCAATAATTGCTATATAGTTCTTTATTTAGTTCTGCAGAGTCTTACTCAGTGTTCTGTTTTTTCTTCACCAAGCTCGGAGTGTTGTAATGAAATTATGCGAACCAATGAGTTTGGTTAACCAACTTTTTAAAATTTGCGTCTAACATCTTTTGTAATACACTTCTTCTAGTAGGAGTATTATATTATGGGATTTTTAACTTTTATTTTTTGTTGGATACAATCTTCTCTAAAGTTTTAATTTTTGAGCTTTTTGAGAGAATAAGAATTTTAGTGATTAGCACGTAGAAATCCTTGTCTGTACCATAACTATATTTCTGCCATGGACTTTGAAGTCATTCTTAAGTTTCCTTTTTCATTTCTCTATCTCCTCCTGAATTTGACCATCTGCATTAACACATGAAGTTAGATAGAACATTGATGATTACACGAAATGACGAACTCAATGCCTACAAAGAAGTTTTTAACTCTCACCAACAAAGTTCGCCATAACATCTGATCGGAGTTTGACTCCTATAAAAAACAGTTTGCAAAGTGTTAAATCCTCAACCACCAGCAATTATCTCCTAGCCAATTTTTATGTAAACATAAATGTTATTAAATGTTTCTCTTTTCAAAAGAGAATTTCTAAACATCATAAGCATTTAGTTGTGAAGTTGAAAGTTTTTCAATTATTAGTATTCCGAGAATTGTTTATTCGTAGGAAGATAGTATGATGTTATAATTTAAAGTGATTCTGCAATATTCCTTACAACTAGAGATTTGCAAATGAAGAATAAGCATAAGAACCGAATTGGCAGAAATTAACTGCCAAGTTAGAAGTTTTTACCTTTTTTAAAAGAATTTTTTTTTAAAATAACTGCCATCATTAAAAAAATTACATTTTTTGAAATAAATTTGAAACTCCAACATTGGAGAATTGTCCAAAAAATTATATGTATCAATTTACTATTATGCCACTTGTCATCATGACCTTTCTTTGCCTCTCCTATTATATATAAATAGAATAGATTTATGTATTGTGGAAATGCTGGAAAGGACACGCAGACATTCCAATCTGGTTAAATATTAGATTGTCAAAGTAGAATCTTTCAATGTAACTTAATCTCTCGTCTGCAAGCAGCAAGCAACAACGGCTTTTCGGCCGTTGCGCGCTAGCTTGTAGTTTAGGGGTATAGTAAGGGTGTCCCTTTCTCAAATTTTTCTACAATATAAGATGAAACTTTTAGTCATTTTGGATGTTTTGGTACGAAGGAAAATGTTTTCATGTTTGATTGGTGAGTGGAAAACTTTTTTCCGGAAAATATTTTCTAGTGTTTGGTTAGAGAGTAGAAAATATTTTTTTAGGAAAATATTTTTTTATGCTACTCTCCTCACCCCCATTCCCCCAAGTCACCACGTTTCCTTGCTCACCGCCCTCCCACCCCCAAAAAAAATCCCCAACACAAAAATAACGTTAAAATTGCTGCTCCATAACTAAAAAGAAAATACTCTTTTTTTGGTTGAAAAAGAAAGTACTCATTCTACAACATGAAAATAAAGTACTCATTTTATTGAAATAAAAGAAAATAGTTATTTTTTTACATCATGAAAAAAAATACTAATTTTGTTGAAATGAAAAAAAAAATTTACATCATGAAAAGAAAATACTTTTTTTGTTGAAATGAAAGAAAATACTTTTTCTATGAAAAGAAAGTATTTTTTTGTTTAAATGAAAAAAAAAATACTTATCTGTTGAAATGCAAAATTTTTATCTTTAATATGAAAAGAAAGTAGTATTAATAATATTTTTATTTAGGGTGGGGTGAAGGGTGGGGTGGGTAGGTGGGATGGGGTTGGGTGGTGGCTGTGGGGGTGAGTTGGTGGGGATGAGTTGAGAATGAGTTTTGGAAAATATTTTCCTCCAATTGGAGGAAAATGAATTGATGAGGAAAATATTTTCTAAAACATTTAAGTCAACCAAACATGAAAAAATTGAAAAACATTTTCCGAAAATCGTTTTCCCATGCCAAACACACCCTTTATTTAAAACTTGTCATGGTTTTCTTTATCAAGTAGACTTCAAAGGAAGACATTGGAAACGAAAAAAGTTTCTTGATTTTAATAGTTTATCACCTGCTTCTCTTAGTTTTTCAACACGTGAACTTTAAACAATTGAACGGAAATGAGAAGTCATGATTTCCAAACTCAATCAGCTACATTTTAATCTCAAATTAATTGGAGTAAGAGCTATACAACTTATGTATCCAAATATTCAAAGGATTCATCATATTTAGACAACAAAACTAAAAACAATATACAGCAAATTCTCGTTTTTCACTCTAAAGACAGGGGCCTATGTACAAACATTCATGATAAGTAACTAAATTTTCCCAAAACTACAAACTGGATATTAGGTGTTTGTAACAGAATTCAACAAAATTTTGTGTTTTTCATTAACAATTGAACCAAGTTTACTTGTATAAGCTATAATAGGAAATGCCAATGAATGAAACTCCCACAGAGGCAGAAAGGGTTTTCCCGTCTAAAGAATATGAAAATACATAAAAATCTCTGAGTTTCATAAACTAATCAATAAACAAAAAAGTGATATACAGTACATGGGTTGTGAGAAGACTCCCAATGGAGTTCTGAAACCGCAGTCGTAATAGTATAACCTATGTTGCGCGGACTCCAAAATGTTGCCGCACTCGTGTCGGATCCTCCAAAAATATCTACTTTTGGAAGATCCAACACGCACCCAATGACATTTCGGAGAGTCCGAACAACAAAGAGTATAACCACATGCTCCTTCAATCTGGAAAATGATCAAGAACCATTTCTTTTATTACATATAATGGTGGTGTCCGGAAGCAGCCTCTCTACCCCCTCGGGGCAGGGGTAAGGTCTGCGTACACACTACCCTCCCCAGACCCCACTAGTACAATTTCACTGGGTCGTTGTTTTTGTTGCACAAAACTATGACCTTAGTTGTGCAAATCTCTGCCTCAGAGCATTGGCAAGTTCCCATTCACCAATATTTGCCAGGCCTTCAACAACCTTTTGCCTTGACCTTATGTACGGTATGAACCCTCTCTTGGTCATTTCTGTGACAAATTTTCCAGCCAAAACAAACTGGCAGTTCTCTAAGCACCATTCAAGGACTACCTCGTAGCACTCGAACCCAACATGGACACCCTCATTTTGTAAAAACTCAATTACTTCAATCGCTCTCCATATCTCTTTGTTAGCTCGTATTGCTGCCAATGCTTTCACCAAAGTGTCTTTTCTCGGGCTCAGGCCAAACCTCACAACCATTTCATTCACCATCTCTATGATAGCAGACGTCATTCTTAGCTCGGATAAGTTGTCAATTAAAGTACCGTAACTATCTAAATCCGGGATACAACCAGCCCGGGCCATGCCCTTCAATACATTAGCTGCTTCATCTATCTGATCGACCTTGCAAAGTGATAAAATGATGTAATTGCATGTGCCACAATCAGGGCTATATCCAATATCCTGCATTTCCAACAATATGCTTGAAACAGAATGAGATTTTCCCCGACGTTCAAGCCATGCAGTGGAGAGTAGGAGGTGAGTTTGAGGTACAGGAAGGCAGCCAGAGCGAAGGGTACGCTGGAGAATGGCAAGAGCGAGTGGGAGAGGATTTGAGCTTTGGAGAGTGTAGGAAAGGAGAGAGGAATATGCAATTCGAGGGCGAGAACGAGGCCTGACTGGAATAAAAGATTGTAAAATTTCGTCAACAATTTGGACTCTTGTGTTCTCAGGAAAGGTGGATAAAAATGAAAAGGGATTCGGATTGTGGTTAGACCCTTTAGGGGAGCTCAAAATATCAGGAATCTGTTCATATCTTTTTGCTTCCACCACTGCTTTAATGGTTTCTTCAAGCATTCTTGCTGAAGAGGCAAAAGCACGACAAATAGGACGAACAGATAAATGCAGCTTTGCAGCTGCCATCACCCTAGTTGAGTTCTTCTTATTTTAATTCTAAGCGTAAGCAAAATTAGTAGAGGTGCGTTTAAACTGGTGTGGACACTGACAATACTAATAGTGAAAAGATGTTCTTCATTTTCTTAATTCAAACAAATAGCTTAACCTTAGCCTCGGAATGCTTATAATGCTCGAATTTTACACCTGCAGAAGAGGTGGAGGGGTTATGAGGGGTAAAAAAGTCTGCAGCAACTGGACACATGATATAGCAAAATGCATGGAACTGGAAGAGCAGAAAACATTTGATGTTTTCATTCTGGAATAACATCGAACAAGGAACAGGCATAGCGTGAGATGAAAATAACAAATAGATTCTTATTTCGTGGGAGAGACGCAAATACTTTACATAGAAATTGCAATTCAAGAAACACATTTCAATATTCTTTCAACGTTCTATCAAGTGGAACAGCAGAAGAGTAATACCTGTTCTCGCTATAACACAGAGGCAGAAAATACCCCTACAGAGGTTGCCGGTTTCTCCCTTAATCCTGACTTGCTAACTATACGCAGTCCAAACTATGGCTGATTAATAAAAGAATTTCTTGGCCGCAGCTTTATCAGTTTGATGAGAAATTAATTAAAAGGAATAAAGAAAATTAGACTGCCTCCCTCTTCTTTTCGGTTTATTTTTCTCCTTATTCGTTAGGGGATTGAAGTAAAAGAGAAAAGTATAAACTTGAAGCACCTGTAATATTTGTAAAAAATTATATGTTATATATTATATTGTCTAAAAATTTATTAGTGTAGCTTTAATTTGTGATAGTCGATTAATTATTCTTTTTATTAATTTATCAATTAATGCTTAGCATAAAAATTATTTATAATGATTTACACAATGATGAATTAAGTTAGTGAGGCTTTATATAGTCGGCCTTTTCTATATCAATATTTATAGGACTAGTTCTTTTTTGCTTCAAATCTGTGCATTTAGTCAAAAGCTTTAAATATTCTATACAAGATCTTCAAGCTTTGTGCACCTCTATCATAACAAAAAATAGGGTATATACAAGACTGTCCTTTTCTCTCAAAAGGTTAGAACTGAGTCACAATAATAGTTACTAGTATCTAACTGTTTTTCTTTTTTAAATTTGAAAGGAACAAAACTCTCAACAAAAGAATGAGCATTCAGGAGCCAGTTATTTCAATACAATAATGAACATTTGGTGGCGTGTTAATGGTCAGCCGCGATATCAGAGAAAACTGAATAAAATTTAAAGATTTACAGGAAGATTTGGGTCATATTTGATGGGAATAAACCCCCACAGAAATAATATTCACGATAATAAAAGAGGAATAATAATGTAGCACCGAGATACGGTAATTAACAAGAATAAAAGAGTAACAACGACACCAAAATTTTTACGTGAAAAACCCTTTTAATAAGGAAAAAAATCACGGCCCCGAGAGGAGCAACTGATATCACTATAGTAAGGAATTTTACACTTTGTAGGTCCGAGTAAAATACTCCAAAGACCACTACAACACTCAAAAGAAATAACCCTCTTTTGATATTCCCACCTCACTACAATATCACCCACTCTCTATTTTCCTCACAGACTATTTTCTTATACCCTGTCTGTGAAACCTCACTCTTTCTTTCTCTCTTTGTTGGTGTGAAGAAATGAGAGTTGAAACTCTCCTTTTATAGCNTAGCATTGTCTTCTAGTTTGAGTGTATGCCGACAAGTTCTTTGCATAACTCGAACTTGTTCCTTGGTACCACCTTGGTCAGCATATCTGCGGGATTCTCACTTGTAGAAATCTTCAAGACTTTTAGAGATTTATCATCTACCATTTCTCGAATCCAATGATATCTCACATCAATAGCACTTTGACTGTCACAATAGACGACATACTCCTTCTGATGCAATCCAAGCTCTTGAAGGAACCGTTTGAGCCATATCATCTCCTTGCCAGTTTCTGTAGCGGTAATGTACTCTGCTTCAGTTGTTGAAAGTGCAACATACTTCTGCAACTTAGACTGCCATGATATAGCTCCCCCTGAAAATGTAAACAAATAAATATCCAGTAGTGAATTTTCTATTGTCAATGTCATCTGCCATATCAGCATCTATATAGCCCTTCAAGATTGGATCAGATCCTCCAAAGCACAAACAATCTCCCGTGGTACCTCTCAGGTACCTGAGTATCCACTTGACTGCTTCCCAATGTTCCTTTCCAGGATTTTCAAGAAACTTGCTAACAACACCAATTGCGTGAGCAATATCAGGTCTAGTACATACCATTGCATACATCAAGCTTCCGACCGCTGAAGAATAAGGAACTCTAGCCATGTTTCCTTTCTCTTCCACTGTTGTAGGACACATCTTTTTGCTCAACTTTAGATGACTAGCAAGAGGTGTGTTGACTGGCTTAGCATTTTTCATGTTGAAGCGTTCTAGTACACGTTCAATGTACTTCTCCTGAGATAGCCACAACTTTCTACTTGTTCTCTCTCGAACTATCTTCATCCCTAGAATTTGTTGTGCTGGGCCCAAGTCCTTCATATCAAATGACTTGGACAGATCTCCCTTACTTTGCTATCAGCCCCTTGTCTTTTCCTACAATTAACATGTCATCCACATACAATAACAATATAATAAAGTTATTCTCAGAAAATCTTTTGAAGTATACACATGGATCANCCAAATGCCAACGAAACTGATGGACTCCTATTGATCAGGTAACAGGCTGACTGAACTGCTTCACCCCAGAAAGACTTAGGCAGTTTAGCCATTCTAAGCATGCTTCTTACCTTCTCCACAATGGTGCGGTTCATCCTCTCGGCTATGCCATTGTGCTGCGGGGTTCCAGGAACTGTCTTTTCATGTCTGATCCCATGACTTGAACAATACTCTTCAAATTCTCTTGAAGTGTACTCACCTCCACTGTCACTTCGGAGACGCTTTAGCTTTCGACCCGTCTCCCTTTTTACTAGAGCATGAAACTTCTGGAAAACTTGCAACACCTGATCTTTGGTTTTCAAAATATAAACCNATTCCAAATCTCCATGAGGAAATGTAGTTTTCATATCTAACTGCTCCACTTCAAGATCTAGGCTAGCTGATAAGCTCAAAATTGTTCGAATAAAAGTTATTTTGACAACAAGTGAAATTTTTTTGTCAAAATCAATACCTTTCTTCTGTTCGAAGCCTTTAACCACTAATCGAGCTTTGTATCTGACGAGCTTGCCATTTTCATCTTTCTTGAGCTTAAAGACCCATTTGCATTTGAGTGGTCTTTTACCCTTTGGAAGTGCAACCAGCTTGTACGTGCCATTTTTCTGTAAAGATTCTATCTCTTCTTGCATGACTTTCATCCACTAATTCTTTTATGGATGGGATAGCACCTCCTTAAGACTTTGTGGCTCCCCTTCATCACTGATGAGGACATACTCTGTGGAAGGGTACCTGCATGACTCTACCCATGGCCTCTCTGATCTCCTCAGAGGTTGAGGTTGTTCTTCTCCCTGAGTGGGGTGTTCCACTTCCTCGACACCTTCATCAAGTTGCTTCCCCTGCTCGGCAACCTCGTCGGTTGTACTTTCTACACTTGTGGGATTATTAGAAGTAGAAGGAATAGTAACAAGGTTAGGAATTATACCATTCTTTGCCTTTTCTGACATATCGGCAGCAGTTCCAATTTCACTTTCTCGGAAGACTACATCTCTGCTTCTGATGACCTTCTTCTTTACAGGATCCCACAGTCTGTACCCGAACTCTTCATCTCCATATCCGATAAATATGCAGGGAACAGATTTATCATCCAGCTTTGTTCTCTGCTCTTTTGGTACATGTGCAAAAGCTCT